TGATTAAGTTGTTGAGTGGAAAGAGGAAAAGAGCGGCATGCTGTGGGAGTCACCGAGGGAGGAGGACTGGCTCTGCCTCTGCAGCACCTGCACCTGTGCAGCCAGGTCACTCGGGCTGTCCCTCCTCCATCCCCAACCGCTGCCCCTCTCTACCCGGTCAGGACCTCACCTCTGGCCCTTTGCTCTCCCGTCCGACCTCTGCCCTGCAGTAAGCTCCCGGTCTCTTCATTTGTCTTTGGTGTCCTGTATGTAACGCTCCTGAGTTATGTCTCAGAGGGCTCTTGTGTTCCGTTACATCGTCAGGACGATTACAATGCAGCTCCTACCGACCGCCTCTCCCTTTCTCTCTCAAACGTCTTCTGGGCCTCCTGTTAGAAACCAGCTGCCGCACTCTGTCCTTCTTCTCATCCTCCCATCTCCTTACCTGTGGGTGTCGAGCAAACACCTTCCAAGCTCGCTGTCAGGTTCCCAACTCTCGTAGCCGTTTGCTCTGTGACACCCCTTCCTGAAGCGAACCGTACTTTCCATCTTCCGTTGTTGGAAGTTCTACTAGCGCTTTTAAATGTAGCTGGTTTGGGTCTCGCCATTGTTCTCCGTGGGTAGTTTAGTCTTTCTGAAGAACCAACAGAGAAGAGTGGCTGTAAAGATGTGGTTTGCATTTAGTACTAATCACAGACATTTACGTCAGCTGCCTGCCATTTTACCGTGAGACTTGACGGTGAGTCACCAACAGCACGAATGTCTCACACTGACATGCCGAAGCCACGTTAGATTGCCTCTCACACTGACATGCTGAAGCCACGTTAGATTGCCTCTCAGGAGCAGAGAAGTGATCGCGCTCCCACTTACAGGATGCCCACAGCTCACCCACAGGGTGCTAGGAGTCTACCCAGGTTCTTCCTGGCCCTAAAACCATTCAAGACAGGTGTTATCATCATGATTTCTCTTAAAAACAGGGAAAGGAGCCCTGGGCCTGTAGTGGGTTACAGTACTAACTACGTAGTAGTCAGCCCAACCTAGGCTGGGCTGCGAACTACCAGCTTCCCCGCCAACCCCCAGGAGAAAGATGAGGCTTTCTACTCCCATAAGGAGCTACAGAGATGAGGCTTTCTACTCCCATAAGGAGCTACAGAGATGAGGCTTTCTACTCCCGTAAGGAGCTGCAGAGATGAGGCTTTCTACTCCCGTGAAGAGCTGCAGAGATGAGGCTTTCTACTCCCGTAAGGAGCTACAGAGATGAGCCTTTCTACTCCCGTAAGGAGCTACAGAGATGAGGCTTTCTACTCCCGTAAGGAGCTACAGAGATGAGCCTTTCTACTCCCGTAAGGAGCTACAGAGATGAGGCTTTCTACTCCCGTGAGGAGCTACAGAGATGAGGCTTTCTACTCCCGTAAGGAGCTACAGAGATGAGGCTTTCTACGCCCGTAAGGAGCTACAGAGATGAGGCTTTCTACTCCCGTAAGGAGCTGCAGTCTTGGACACCCACAGGGGCCACGCGACCCTGCCCTGGAGGGTCACGTGAGTCGGCATCGACTCAGTGGCAGTGAGCTTGGCTTCACAAAAATGAAGCAACGTAAACCAGACTGTGGTGACGGCTGCACCGCTCTTTTGAAGGTCCCCAGACCACTGGGTTGTGTGGGACACAGGTTATCTGTCAAGAAGACGGTTTTAAAAAGAGAGTGAGTGAGGCTGAGAGTTCAAGAGGCTACCCTGCCCAGAGTCCTTTACCTAGGGGTCAAAGGGCGGAGCCTGGATTCAGCCCTCATCTGGCAAACTCTGAGGCCCATGGGGTCCTTGCTCTCCACTCAGAGCCCAAGGCAGTCTGAGGATCGCCTTCTCTAGGCCAGCCGTCCCCAGAGCTCTCCCTGTACGCAGGCCCGGTGGGGCTAGCAGGCAGCCTGCTGGTCTATGCTCCTCATGCACTGTGTGGTGGTCACTGCCCTTGGCGGGTGTCTGCCCCTGTGTGGGGCAGCTTACCCATGTGGAGCGGGAAAAGGACGGCGCCTGGTGACATACCCTGGAGGATGGATGGGGTCTCAAGTGAGGTGGCAGCTGTGGAAACACTAAAGTTCATGGGCCCACTTGTCCTCAAAGCTGCCCGAGTGGCAGGCCCGGGCTCTCCCCCTCCCCCAAGAGTGCCACGCAGTGGTGGATGCCTAGGGTCTGCAGCAGAGCCATAATCTGGGTGCTCGTGGATGGCAGCTCCCCCGCATGGCCACTCTAGACCAGGGGAGAAAGCGGGATGCCTGGCTCAGCTTCAGGTCCAGTTGGT